ATGAATCAACGTGCACATCTCACCCTCCACCATATGCTAGTCTCATCTGACAATCTACGCAGTTACATAACCCCACTACACACGCTCCACATCCACAACACGACGTGTTGCACACGAACACTCACGTCTCACGCGCACACTACTAACACGCGTCCACACAATACAATCGTGTCACACACTCGCCACACACTGTGTCACACAATCTCACCGTCTCAAACACACAAGATTTCGGTCATTATTCCTCATCATCCGCTCTCCAGGCAACCCGACACGTGTGTCACCACCTACACTCACCGTGCACACGACTCACCCGTTCACCCACGAAAACACGGTTACAACACCAACGTCTCCCTCATCACACCCCCCCGTCTTGCCTAGCTCCATTTCACGACTCCGCTCACGACACCGCGCAATCACACTACACGTGTCTACATCACTCACCGTCTCACACACGAACACGTGTCACAATCCACCACCCGTCTCACCACACGAACACGCTGCACACACTATCACTGTCAAGTCCACACACACCGTTCCCCCGTCTCACATCAACTACTCGTCCCTCAACACAGTCATCTCCTCGCCACACGCGTGCACATCACCTTACAGCTGTCACATCACACTACCGTGTCACACACTCACGCCGAGTGCTCACAACAGTACCTCCTGTGTTCAACCACACCAACCACCGTGTCAGCACGCTTCTCCCTCGTTTGCTTGATGATCATGCCCGGCCGTTGACCCGCTGCCCCGCCTGCGTGCCTCGGAGACCTGTCCTCTACGGGCGGTGACCGTTCGGGATGTCAACCTTGAGAGTTGCTGCTGCGGCGCTACCCCCGCCCATCCTCTCACGCGGCCTCGGCCCCTCGGGACACGTGTCCCCTTCAGTCCCCGTCTCACCACCGAAGGAGACCGGGTCCGTGTCAACACACCACCGTGCACACACAACACGTGTCCACATGCAACACCGTGATCAGCACACAGCGCCCTCAAAGCCCCGTGTCACATCACATTCACTCCGTCTCACAACACAACACGTGATCACATGCACTCACTAGGTCACACACCCCAACACGATCGTCACAACAGCTCACCGTCTCACATCAGTCTCCTCTGCTGTGTTTCTTTCCTCCCAACATGCGTGCACACCACTCTACCTGTCTCACACCACAATCACCTCGATCCACGCTCACACACACTACACGGTCAACACTGCTCACTAACAGTGTGTCACACACAACCAACGCCGTCACACACTCAGCCGTGCTCACACACAAACACGTGTCACACACACTCATGCCGTCTCACCCCCACGAACACGCCCACGCAGCACAGTCACACACTACACGTGCACATGCGACCTTCACCGGGTCACAGAACGTCACAACACGTCACAACGTACACCTGGCGTGTCACACAAACCTACACGCCGTCACGCACTATCACGGCCGTCACGCACATACATGCGTCCACGCACTACACGCATTCACACACCTAATCACTTGTCACACCCTACCGACGTGTCACACCCACAACAGCGTGTCACCACACTACACTGTCCACACCACGTACAACTTGTCCACACACGTACACTTCACACACTAACACGTTCACACACTACACCGTCACGGACAATCATGTTGTCACACACTCTCCGCTGACCGCTGTCCCCATCAACGTTACACACACTTACAAGCGCTCACCACAGTACGACGGTCACACACTACAGCACGCTGTCAGACATCTAACACGTGTTCACACACCTACAATGTGTCAGTCATCAACTAACAAGGTTCACGCACCTACATGCGTCACGCACTGTACACGTGTCACGCACTACACGTGTCACCACTAACGTGTCACCAGCACTAACACGTGTCACACAAATACACTCGTCACAACACTAAACGTCGTCACACCCCACCCTCACCGTGCTCACACTACAACACGCGTCACACACTACACATCTGTCACATCCACCTACAGCGTGCTCCAACACACTACACGTGTCGACACCCACCGCCTCAACCGTGTCGCCATACAACCCGCGTGACGCAAACTAACCTGACGTGTCATCACCACTACACGTATCACAACTACACGCATGCACACACTACATGTGGTCACACCTAACTTGTCACACACTACACGCTGCACACACTACACGTGTCACCCACACACTGCTGTCACGTGCACTATTTTACCACCCCGGATCATCTCCACCGATCTGCTGCTCATCAACACGTGATCACACACTACATCGTGTCACACACATAAACAATCGTCACACACCTAAACGTGTCACACACCCCTGCATTCCGTCGATCCACATAAACAACACGCGCACACACTACAATGTCTACCACACTCAGACGTTCACACACGTACACCGCGCGTCACACCACTACATAGCGTCTACACACCCTCACCTCACCGGTGTCACATACACACACGCCGTCCCACACTCACACGCGTACAGACGACACTTACCAACGTGTCACACCACTACACGTGTCACACAGCCCTACACTCCGCATCACACACCTACAGAACGTGTCTACACCTACAGTTCACGCAATCTACACGCGTCCAGCATCACCACAAGCCTCGTTTCCCTCCCACCACACCGTCTCTCACCGTGTCACATACAACACCGCGTCACAACTACACGTGTCACACAATAACGCATGCACACACTTATCCACGTGCACGCCACTTTCACCTCTACACGCGTCACACACTACACGTGTCACGCCCCAACACGCGTCCAAAAAAACACACTACACGTGTCTCAACGCACGAACAACTGCACGTCACTATCACTACACGTGTCACACGCACTCTGACTCACCGTATTCTCTCGACGTAGTCACTGAAGGTTGCGCGCACGAGTATTGACTGCACGTTTTGCAGTGAACCTACCCATCAGCTTCGGCGCGTCACATGCATGTCCCGGGTCAGTCTTACCCTTCCCACATGCTTCTGATCAGAGTGAACAGCCATTGCGATCCAGCCTGCCATATACACTGTGTCACAGACCTCCATCTCACCAGATGCTCCCACACCAAAACACCCGATAATTGTATTAATATTAGTCAAGGGGTGAAATAACACAGCGAATAATTGACATTTGTGATGTAATTAAACCCCTGATATCTGTGTATGTATGGTAATAAGATATGGTGGTAGATAATACTGGTCATGGATAATCAGGAAGACAGAGAGAGAGAAAGAGAGGAGAGAATTAAGCAAGAGAAGAGCGAGAGAAAAGAGAGAGAGCCATCAGAGAGCGAGATCAAGAACACAGAAAAAGAGAGATGAGGAGAGAGCGACGAGGAAAGAGAGCCAATCGAGAGAGAAAGAGAGTAGAAAGAAACAAGAGCGAGAGATGAGGCCGACGAGGAGAGAGGTAAAGAGAGCGAGAGTAGTAGAGAGTAGTGTAAAAAAGAGAGGTCGCGTGCAGAGGGGTTGGCAAATATAAAACAGTAACAGAGTGTGCAGCAGCATGCAGCGTACACTACTCACCCCTGTGAGCAGCACGGAGAAGGAACCCTCCCTCATGCCGCGCAGCTCCTCCTCGCTGGGCGAGTAGGTAAGCACGATGCGATCGTTGGCGGTGACCTGCACGAGCGGATAATCGCCGAAGCCCTGCACGCTGAACGACGGGATGTACGGCTGGTTGATGAGCGTGAACGACAGCCGGCCACCGTACGACTTCACCTGTGTTGCCGCAGCAAGAGAAACAAGCGCGTATAGAGGAGAGAGGAGCACATAGACGAGAGGAAGGGAGAGAAGGTGGCAGGCGAGAGAAGCGTATAGAAGAGAGGAGAGGAGAAGAGAGGAAAGGAAAGGAGAGGAGAAGAGAGGAGAGGACAGGAGAGGAGAGGATAGGGGAGGATAGGAGCCGAGTGGAGAAAACGAGAGAAAAGAAGAGGAGAAGAAAGGAGAGGAGGATGGGAGGCAGGTTGGATGGAATGGTGAGACCTATCAAATAAAATCTCTCATCCCCCGCAATTCTTAAAGTCATGGCACACGCGCACACTACTGTGTACTGTATACGCCATATTTTTCGCGTACAGATATTTTCGCGAATTCAGACTTGACGGAGAATTTCGCGAGTCGTTAATTTCGTGGTCGGTGAATTCCCGAATCAATGAAGAATGACGTGTTGTTCTTTTCGTGGCAGGGGCGCTTTCGCGAAATTCGCAAAAATGAAACCACTGCAAAATATACAGTGTATACAAGATTGCACACCCAGCCGACATCCTGGTGGAAGCAGCTATGATCCTATGACCTATCCTACGACCTATCACCCCAGCAACTCAGGTAAGGAATCGATGCGTTGAAGCTGTCGCTACCTTGTCTCCCAGGAAGCTGCGTGAGAGGCTCCAGTAGACCGGCTCGCGTCCGGTCGGCAGCTGGAACTGCGCCATCTTGCTGTCGATGGGGATTGTGTAGTAGCCAGCGGTCATGTTCAGCCGAACCCCGTCATCATCGTCGAAGTGAGCGGACTTGTCAGCGACGGTCACCTGAAACGACGTCACCAGGCGGCAGCACTGTAGACACACGCGGTGATGACAGATGGTGCTCTTACGCACATAGAGAGAGAGAGAGAGAGAGAGAGAGAGAGAGAGAGAGAGAGAGAGAGAGAGAGAGAGAGAGAGAGACAGTGTTCATATGTGGTGTGGTGTGTGCGTGTGTGTCTGTGTGTCTGTGAGAGAGAGAGAGAGAGAGATATATATGTCCTAATTGTATAATTTATAATAATAACAGCGACGACGGCGACGACGACGACGACGACGACGACGACGACAACAACAACAACAACAATAACAACAACAACAGCAACAACGCGGCCGCGTGCACTCACATCTGCAGTTGCCGCCCTCCCCGACGACGTGTCGTGGCTTGCATTCGTCGCACGCGCGTCCGGTGATGCCGGGGTAGCACGTGCAGTCACCCGTCAGTGCGTGACACGTCAGGTTCACCGCACCCAGCAGGCTGCAGCCGCACGCCTTACACGAGTCACCACGCACGCTCGGGTTGCCATAGTAACCAACGTCGCACCTGCGCGGAAGAACACAGACCGTTCAGCATCTCAGAACAAATCCATCAGCGTGATTGTGATGATTATGTCTCTTGGATACTGATGCTAGGTCGGTGCAGTATGGCTTCACATGTGTGCATGCCTGAATGTTAACTTTTACATTTTTGAAATGCTACGTGGAAAATGGTGTACGCTGGTGAGTTTTTAAATGAAATTTTAACATTTGAAACACAGTGAAAAGTACATTGAATGTTACATTAAAGTAGACTGTTTAATTTCATAATTTATCTAAAAAATAATCTGGAAATGATGTTGAAGCCAGCGAGCTTCCGGGCCTCCACCTGGCGGTGACGTGTCTGCACATACCTCTCACATCTCTCTCCTGTGTAACCCTCTTCACACGCATCACAGATCATGTCTCCCAGCCTGTCTCCCTCCTCCTCGACGTGACATGCAGGGCTGAAGCTGAGAGCGAGAGCAAGACTTAGATCACTGCTACAGCGGTCATCACCACAACGACACCACGTGCGCATGAGAATCAACGAGCAGTGCAATATCCCTCAGTGGACTACATCTGTTTAAGGATTCGGGCTCTCAGTCTACTTTTGGGCATCACGCTCAGATAGTATCAATAAATATATAAAAACGGCAAGACACCACGTGCTTTGTCTTAGCGGCTGTACGTAAAAGTTACCTGCTCATGATTAAATAATCTTATAAATTAATAATGCTATGGCCGGGGTTATTAACGCCATCACTTGCATCACAGAATAATAATATCAGGGTTAATAATGATAAAATTTGTCATTATATTGACAGATTTGACACATTTGTCATTATTAACCCCTGAGGCAGAGTTGCGATAAGATATATAGGGGGCTTATCTGTCACACATAACACTCAGAAGAGACAGTGCAGAAAAGATCGACTGTAAACAACTTTGTTTCTTTTTAGCAGGAGTAGGAGAGGTTACTCTGGTGGATATATTAAACAATCTAATAAATTAATAATGCTAATTCGTTATTGACTCCGTTAATCGCATCATAAAATCTGTCACTTTTTACTTATTCATCTGTTTGCACAATGACACAGCTAGCATAATAGCTTACATGACCTTGAGCGGGTATGTGGGATTACATGACGATGCTGAGACAATGGTTGACTTACTTGTTGTTTTCTAGCGGACACTCACACGGATCGCAGTCGTACGGGGTGCCATACGTCGCGTTGCCATAGTAACCAGAAGCGCACAGTTCACAGTGGTCACCTGCGGTGTTGTGCTTGCAGTTCTGGAATTTCGAATAACGAACAGTTGATTACGACCGAACGCATGATTCCCCGTTATCAAGCTACTTTGTAAATGATAATATAACTCATGATAATATCATATAACTCAGTCATTACAGTAATATTATCATAATATTACTGTAATGACTGAGTTGAATGCTCTTTTGCGCTGTTGCGAATAATTGAAGAAACCTACTATGCATATTCCTGTCTCTCGGTCGCAGATGGAGCTGTGATAGTTGCACATACAGGGTCTTGCCTCTCCTGCTAGGTCCAATGTGTTGTTGCTATCCAGGAAATTTGGTTTCTTCCATCTATGAGAAACGACAACAATCTCAATTTAATTGAAACACATGTTATAAACAATTAGGCATAACATGTGCGCTCGAGTTTTCAGGGTAATCTAGAAATATTTTCACAAAAATAGCAAAATTAACTCTAATAGCAATATTAATGAAATGATCAATAATAGAATTAACATAAAATGTTCACAGTGAAACGCATATTGAATGTAATAGCAAAAGCAGCACCACTGCCATCAGCAACAGAACCAGTGACAACATCTGCAGCATTAGTATCAGCCGCAGCAGTAGCAGCAGCAGCAGCAGGAGAAGCAGCAGCATCAGTAGCAGCAACAACAACAGCAGCAGTATAGCAGCAACAGCAGCAGCAGCAGCAGTAACAGCACTAACAGCAGCAGTAGCAGCAGCAGCAGCAGTAGCAGTAGCAGCAGCAGCAGCAGCAGCAGCAGTAGCAGCAGCAGCAGCAGGAGAAGCAGCAGCATCAGTAGCAGCAACAACAACAGCAGCAGCAGCAGTAGCAGCAGCAGCAGCAGCAGCAGTAACAGCACTAACAGTAGCAGTAGCAGCAGCAGCAGCAGCAGTAGCAGCAGCAGTAGTAGTAGTAGCAGCAGTAGTAGTAGCAGCAGTAGCAGTAGCAGCAGCAGCAGCAGCAGTAGCAGTAGCAGCAGCAGGAGAAGCAGCAGCATCAGTAGCAGCAACAACAAAAGCAGCAGCAGCAGCAACAGCAGTAGCAGCAGCAGGAGAAGCAGCAGCATCAGTAGCAGCAACAACAAAAGCAGCAGCAGCAGCAACAGCAGTAGCAGCAGCAGGAGAAGCAGCAGCATCAGTAGCAGCAACAACAAAAGCAGCAGCAGCAGCAACAGC